GGTGATTCGCACCGCCTCGCATCGATCGCGTCTGAGACGTTTCGATACGATGGCTGAGATCGGTTGCATTTCGCCGCCTGCCGCTACGCATCCAAAAGTTTCTTCTTCTTGCGCGTAAGCGAGATGTCACAGTTGTTGCCGGAGTGAGCTCCCAATCCCAACGAAGAAGTCTTTCTGCCAGTCTGGTGCACGCAGTGGGTGTTGAACCACAAGTTGAAGCTTGGCAACAGAAACATACAGAAACTCGAATCTTACATCTAAGGCCTTAAAAGGTAGAACCGCGAGATCGAAGCGTTAGACAAGACGCCCTGTGCGGCCTTACCCCGTAAGGGTTCAATCCACCGAATCACCGAGAGCAAAAAAACCATTCGTATTTGTACCAAAACTTTAAAGCATTAGCCCGGCTAAACCAGACAGGCCCTAAAGCCTTAGAGCCCAAGCCAGTGCACCGTTGACCTCAAAGCTTAAATCTCAACGCCTGGTAACATAAATGCAATGGCCAGTGAACACCAGGTGGTCAGCTGGGTTGTCTTTGGAACAGACTTCGTTGTGCACCGTCCTCATCGTGCAGGTTGTTCACAGGTGTCTTACTCCAAAATTTCACCTCACCTGTGTGTCTGCAGGTACTTGACGCTTTGTGTTCCCATGATTGAGACGGTGCTTGCGCAGGCTGACTTCCGTAGCCTGTTGCGACTGGCTGCAACATCAAGCGGCTCTCATGAGTTCCTCAGGTCCTCGTGACTTGCTTCTTCCTTGTCAGCGTGGGATTCCTGGTCGTTTCCACCTTCCGTGCAACCAAGTGCAACCCCATCGACCCGTTCGTGCTTCGGGATGCGACGCCCCCAGATGTCGATGTCTAGTGTACTTACCGTAAACTTAAACACAACTTGTCCTGTGATGAACACAGCGGCAGTGGTTTCTACCAAGAATCATCTTTATAACGTTACTGACGGGTGTAGTCTGGCAACCATGCGGGACCCTTTCTAGCACTGCACGTTTGCGATAAGCATGGCAAAGGCTAGGATCATGCTCCGAGTGCACGGTCTTGGAGCCATGAAGCTGTGTTGTTTAAGACGCTCCATTGCTTGAGCTTTCTTCGTTCAGGAATCCGAGTTCAAAGACGAGGACTTGCAATCAGTGATAAGCAGTGTCTTGCACTTGGCACAAACTTCCTTCCTCCAGGAGCTTGAAGAGCTACCTTTTTGTGGTCTGCCTTGGCCCCAGTGCTGCGACATGCGCTCCGCTCTGATACAGTACTGGCAGCGCCGAGGTGTGCTACAACAGTGCAGGCACGGAGCAAACATTGTTGGGGCCTGTGTGAAGATCGCAGGAAACTGTGTCTGTTCCCGGCGATCACAAAGAACAGACACTCTGCTGCACGAGGTCGGGCCTGCAACAAGTGTGTGGCATCTTTCGACCACCACTGCATGTGGCTTAACAACTGTGTCTGGGCCTCTGACGTGCATGAGCCTGTGAGGAACTCTCGGTGGCATACACATAGTCATAGTCGTCATGACATTCAGCTGAGATTGGTGGAGACAACTACTACGCCTTTTTCGTTTCAATCAGCTCCGTTGGCGTGATGATAGGCAGGTTGAACTCCGTTCTCTGTGAAGGGAGAAGATGGATGAAGGGGGGTCTGTTCATCCGTCATCCCGAAACTGTTGAGGTGTCGTGCTGGGCACCATATTGCAGCTGCCTGAGTTAGCAACCGCACCATGCATTCAGCGGGTGCGTGTTCACAGACTGCAACGGCTGCACGCAAGATGGGAGCGAAAGGTATCAGTTCATTGACTATTTCACCAACGAGGCCCGAATGTGAGAACATATTGTTTTGTTGCAATTTGCTATGGTTTGGTGGGAGGCGTTCGAGTCCCGCTTAGAGGTGGGGCGCTGGCAAATGGAAGTGCATCCTGTAGATGCGACGGTCTCGCACTATTCTGGAAGGCCTCCCCGATCCACGCGGGACTTTCGATGGAGTCTTTTCTGGTGCGGTGAGCTTAGACATTCAGGTTCATGAGCTTTCCAGCTTCTGAAATCTCCTGAATTCACCGGTGCTGAGGACTCTTATTGCAATGTCTTTCGTGAATGTACCATTGTGGTGTTTGGACATGCAGCTGGCTGGCACCCCCAGATGTCAAGATCATGCAGACGGAAGACCAAGCCGTTTGCGTCTCTGCGCATTGAGTCCAGGTTTTTCTGCACGTGTACTTAATGCAGCGGTCCAAGACTCCAAGCGATGCATGCAGCAAGCGATGCGGAATGTCCGCTGTACAAGGCACCAAAACCTGACCACTTATGAGTACATCATGAACAGACGGCAGCAGGCGTGTGATTTCAGCACCTGTACATGTCGCTTCAGCAGTCTGTTGTGCTGGCATGGGAACCCCCGAAAACAGGACGCAGGAACCTCCAAGTTTCGTGGCCTCCCTCGATGCATGGACGAAGCCTTATCTCAGTTAACGTTAGTGATCGATGATGATACTCTTGTTATCTGCTCCTGACAGGACTGGATCGTCGTCCGGGCTTTTTGCTTGTCCCACGCGCGGCACTGTCTGCTGAAGCGGCGAGCTGCCAGGTCTTCTCCCGATGTGGCCAGAGACGGCCAAAGAAGAAGCAGGGCACTCGCGTGCTCGTGTGAATTGCAAGAAGCTTCTGTGACTCTCCCGAACTTCAGGGACAAGATAGAAAAAATTGATGAGACAAAGCCTGCGCCGCCGGATGTGCTGCCCTTGACTGCAATGACCATCAGCAGAGCCATTATCGGAAGAGTGTCGCTCTCTGTGTCCAGTATGTAACATACTGTATGTTTATGTTACTCATGCTCCCTCGCTGTGGAAGAACGAAGGAAGGGAGGCAGGACCGGAAAGGGGCCAGGAGGAAACGAAGTAGGATAGAACAACGCATGACGAAAAACCAGGACGGGAATGATTCAACAACGTTAGAAGGACCTTGGGATACGGATGGTGCGTCCTGGGCATCTCGAAGCTCATGGTATGTTTGTTTGCTACGTCGATGGTTTCTAGTTCGGGGACATGTGACATTTCGGATGTTTAGCGAGTCGCTTTGTTGTGTTGCAGCGCTTTCGCTATGTCGGAAGTAGCGGCAGGAGGTTAAAGCACGCCAATGAGGCCTTGAGTGTTTTTGGCTTTGACTCAGGTGGAGACTGGAGCTCAGCCACCCGAGCTAGAGACTGACAGGAGACTCATTGGCTTTGGCATTCTCCCAAACGATGTATAGAGGTAAAAGACTGTAGAAGTACAGATCACCGAATTGGACGGGGTTTATTCTGGACTTTGAAGCCCCTCGAGGACGCTGCCTGCAGCACCGGCGGAAGCGCCACCTGGATCTACCGGGTCCACTGAAGGTGATGGTGTCGCTGCAAAGCACGAGGCACGCTTCCTGCATCTGCGTTGCTCCACGTGGGCGCATGTGGGCGCTGGCAGGCTGTCACAGAAGCGGAGGAAACCTCGCTTGCAGGCTGCAGTCTTAGGGTCTTTCCATGAAGTTCGAGGGGCCGGGTCCTGGAGAAGCTTTGGCTTTGATTTTGTAAGCAGGCGGGCGGACGGACACTGAGACGGCTCCGGAGCTCACGGTGCCCGTGCCAACCTCAGAGAGCATCGACAAAGAGGGGACAGAGTCTGAGAGATCTGAGAGCTGCTGACCCAATCGTGTTTTCCCTGCTTCCGCCCGATCTCGAGGTCCAGGATGACAAATCTGCCAGAGGTGCTTGGGATCTGCTTTGTTCGAGACACCTCTTGAGCGAGCGGCACCAGGTCTTGGTGCGAACAGCGAGGCACCCGAGCGAGGGATTCTGGGAAGCGGCCGAATTCCAAATCTGACAGCCAGAAGCAGGTGGCCCTGGTCGAGCAATGTGAAGTTGCGTGCCTGTCTGAGGTTTGTTTCCCGCGTTTTCTTCGGACGGTGTCTGATGCAGAGGACTGTGTGCATCCGGTTCTGGCATTTCCTCAGGTCTGGCCCAACAGTGGGCATTCCCCAGGTTGGTTGTGGATGCGATGGCTCGTCTGTGGCCCAGGTCCTGTCCCAGCATTCGCTGCATGCAGCCACAAGGTTCACAAGAACAGCAATCTGCAGCAGGATCGTGCAGAGCGTTTTTGCAGCTCAGATGCTGCAGACATCGGATCACCGCACAAACAAAATAACAATGCAGGGCTTTCCCACAGTTGGATGAACTTCGAAGGATCGATAAGACTTGAGGAGATCAGAGTTGCAGTGGTGTGATAGTGATTTAGAGGTCTCTCTCGATGTGCAGCAACATGTAGGGTATTCCCGATTCCTTCAAGACACTCTAATTTCATGACTGTTCGGACATCAAGACTCCAAAGGCGCTGGCCTTCGGGGTTAGCATGTGTGAAACGTGTTACTACCAGTAGAAAAAATTTGCATTGCTCGCTTAGGTCGACTCTGTCTCGGGAGGCTCCGAGCGGTCTTGGACACAGATTTCCCTGCAGTCACTTTGAGTGCTGTGCTGCCTGTGCTCCTCGGTTCTATGGTCTGGTTCTCGTTCCGCACAGCTGAGTCGCTGAGGTAGAGCAGCTGTTTAACGGTGAGGAAGTCTTTGCATGACCGGCACGAAGATGTCATGGCAAAAGTAGATTCTCGGCCAACATCCGCAGACGCAATGCAGCGATGTTGTTGCAGCCGCACGCAGGCAAGAACTGCACGACACGAGCTTCAGCGTTTACATTTCGTATGCAGCAGTAGCATTACACTGAACGAGGCCTGCTGCGTAGTTCGACTGTTTGCCTCGGGGTAGCAAGGCTCAACCTTTGGATTGAGCATTTTTTTAGGAGATTGCACGAAAGCTGTCTACCACTTACGGTTGAGGCAGTGTGCAACAGACTGCTTCTGAGCATCCGCTTTTCCGTTTGAGCTCCTGACAAATGCTCAGAGTTCACTCTGCAAGCTCTTCGTCCTTGCACAGCTACCAATCACTCCAATGGTGGAGTGAAGCGTCAATCATTTCATCTCTTCAACTGGCTCCTACCTAGGTTGCGAAAGGACTGGTACCTGATTTGCAGTCTGCCGTGTTTTTGCATCAGCCAATCTGTTTCACCTTCATGAACACGGGCTGCATCCTATCTCCGTTGTTTTCCGGGCGCCGGCAGGTGGAAGCTTAGCTTGCTCATGTAATCGCATCCAGCCTTCACGCAACTTGCCCGTGAAAATGACTAAATCTGTGAGTGATGTCGCGAGTTGGCGCCACTCTGCTCTTCACGCCGGATGCAAAATTGCAAAGATGTTGTAGTGTGCTCTGTTTTGCAACCTTTTTGACAGATGCAGCAAGCAAGTACCTTGAAGCTCTGCGAAGCTGTATGGGTATTTCATTCCGCTTTGTCTGTGTGTAGCAAGCAACCGTTCATAGATCGTGCTGCTGTTACCATGAATGCATGAAATTGGATTAGCCACCACCGACCTTTTGCAGCATGTCACCTGTTGGCATCTCCTTTGCCTTGCAGCCGTGGCAGCTTCCGGGTCGCATCGTTTGAAGTATAGAACCCCGTTCTCAGCGAGGCCACCCCAGATTTCGAAAGCCTGCGCCTAGATGGCTAGCGTTGCCATGACAGGCACCTAAGTATGTCGGCAAGCATCACACCAGTGATTCGTAACTCGCAGTGCAATGCTGCGATCAAGCATTTGCTTAGTGAGGAAGATGCATCAGCCCGAGCCAAGCCTTCAATCTCGCAAGCGTTTGATTTTTTCAGTGTTTGTGCTCAGGTTCCTGCCATTCTATTCCAAGGCATGGTAACCAATGGAAATGTGAGCAACGATGGCTGCGGCATGCCACGCGTCAGGAGCGCGGTCCACCCAAAATCCGTCAGCAAGTGGTGGGAACGAGGGGGCGAAGGTCGTGAGTATCTATCGTCAGATTGCATTCATGCGTTTCTGAAGAGGTTCTTCAAACTGGTGGTCCTTTCCTCGGCTTTGCAGAAGGCTAGAAGCATGCTGTCTCCTGCACTGACCAGGCATGCAACCAGCGAGATCCGCAAAATGGTAAGCACATGGAGGCCAGTCTGAGCACAAGTGCTCTAGCGAGCTGCGCGCATCTACTCACGGCACATCTCTGCCTCTGCAGGTTTTGGGCAGCTATGCCCCCAAGGTCCTATGTTCGGGGACCGTTGGTTCCTCTCTGGATGGTTCGTCAGCTGGCAGGTAAAATCCAACATCAAGGAGATCCGCCTGCGCTTCTCCAGAGTCAAGGCCAGGTCGCACAAGTGAGACTCGGCGATGGACACCAAGTGACTGCTCTTCTCAGTTCTGGATTGGTGTGGGTGCGCAGTTCAATCCAGGAACGAGGCCTGGCCTGCCGAGTTTTGACGCGCATCGCTCTAGAGACTCTTGAGTATCTGGAAAGGCAGTTGCTGGCTTTGGCTGGGCTGATTCCAACTGCGATGCTCTTGGATGCGCGACTGTTCGAATGGCAATGACGGGATACTGCAATCCGCTGCCAGCCACCGCCACTTTTCGGACATCGGACCAAAGGCCACTACAAAGAGCTGCAGAAGGCCTTCGGATGCCTTTGGTCTGTTCGCAGTGCAAATCAGGCCTGAACAGCTGGCAGGTTCTGGACCTGAGACAGGAAGCGCATGAGGCAAGCACGCAAGCATTGCTAGCAAGCTGCCTTTGATCTGTCTTCTGTGCCCTTGGTTGTTCTCTGCATATCAGGCCGCGGTGCAGGAATACCATAAGCATTCCGGTGTCAAGGGCATCCACGCGGCAGCCTCGAACTGCACAAATTGGGATCACGACATTGCGGTAGGGAGTTTCAGTGATGTCGGAAACTTTCCTGCCTGGCTGCCACCCTTGTGCGGAGGTCCGTTGAGAGCCTCCAGCTAATGAGGCAGAGTCGCTTCCTTCGAGACGGGCCGGATTCCAACCTGTACATAGCATGTTTCTCATTTCCGGTGAAGACAAAATCTGATTTTGGCTCCGCTGGAAGTAATGACTCCATATGACTTTGCAATCGGCTCTGCTCGTATTTGCATAGCTTATATACAGTGGAATCCTGCGCAGCGGCATTGAGAGAATCTTCTGCAGCCTGTGTCGGCAGAAGAGCATGCGTGAACTCGGCAGAAAGTATTTGGGCTCGATATCGAAGTATCAATTTGTGTATTAGCTAGTGTGGGACATCCGGATGCATGGCCCAGCGTTTGTGGCGTCCGTGACTGGCTTTAACGAGTCCGCAGGGGCTAGCGCAGGGTGTTCAAAGTGGACGCCCCGCGAGGTGATCTGGAGCTTGAGTGTCTCATTCACGGTTCCAGCGGCTTCTGCTCTATCCTGTGAGGATGCTGCATCAGTGTTCATGTTGTCGTCAAGTTTGTAGGATGTGAGGTCGCAGTAGCTGCAAGTCCTTGTGAGGATGACGTGGTCGAACTGCTACACATGCGACAGGCTTCTTGGCTGTTTGGGCTTGAGTCACTAGAGACTAGAGAAGCTGGCAAACAGACGTCGGAAGGTTCGGATCGACGCTTCCTCGAACAGCACGAAGAAGGAGGATGCAGGTTCACTGCTAGCTTGTGATTTTTTGTTTGCACGGTCGCTCTGTGCAGGTCAAGATCATGTGGACGCTGTCAGAGACGCTGTCAGAGCTGCCACACTGAGTGCGACAACACCGGATGCCCTGCCACTCCTGTCTTCGCTGAACACCTCGAAACGGCCAGAGGTGCATTCTGCATTTTGCCTCTCCGAATAGCTACGCTAAACTTACTCCCAGAAAAGGGTGAGATGTGCTGACGGTATTCCATGAAAGGCACGGTTTGATACTCAAGGAACTTGTGTTGTGCGAGTGTAGTTGCATGCAAGGGCATTCAAACCGAGAGCGAGAGACAGAGAGAGGGGGAGAGAGAGAGGGCAGGGGGAGCAATCCTCCGGCCCAGAGCCCTGGCGAAAGAAAGAGAGAGAGAGAGAGAGATGCCTTCGGTGGAGGGGGGGTTCCCCTTCACCCTAGCCCTGGCGAAAGTCCACCTCCAGGGCTGTTTTGTCGTGGCCTCTGGGCCGTGGGGCCTATGCTGAAGTTGTGTTTTGCAGGGGCGTGGCAGATCTCTTGCCCGGCCCCCCAGGGGGATTCAAGAAGCCCCCTCCTCTCTTGAAGCTGTTTTGGCAATCTTTGGTTCGCTCGGCCAGTGTGCAGTACATTCGACAGTCACTCCTAGTGGATCTATTGGACATCTGGTCACTCTGACTTCAGAATCCGACACTGGTAAGGTCCACTTTGTCACGCTGCTAGACGCTTCGCACATGGGTGTGACATAGTTTGTGTACGAACTCGATCCCAAGCGGTGTCAGACACAAACTTCTACAAGCTGCTACATCCTTGTCGCCTTGCAAGATGCTGCGAGGCGGAGCACCTTTCGTCTGCGATGGTCCAACCATCTCTGCTGCAAGCATTGCGGGCAAAGCTTTCCGCAGCTGCATCAAGCGCCTCCGTTTATAGGCGCCTTGGCACTGTCGGACAGTTTGTTCTGATCTTCAGCAAGCAGAAATTACAATGTCAATGTGTTTCATCATGTCACACTCCATTGTACTTCTGCGCATCCAAGGGATGGATATGGTCTTCTGACTGTTGTCGCCGTCACAATCTTTGCCTTCATCTCGAGCTGCTGTGCGATAGTGTCAACAAGGGCGTTTCTTGTGACCGAAAACTGTGATGCACGGCGTTCAGACTCGGTTCTCGGAATGCATGAGCGGCGGCATCGGCTTCTGCAATCCCTTCACTCGCTTGGCAGACCAAGTGCTACTCCCAAATTCAGACCCAACGCTCGCGTTGGGTCTAAGCCCTGGAGACAGTTGGTTATCGACAGTCCTCTAGAAGGCGACCGACTCGGCGTAAACCTCACAGAGGACTCAGGGGCTCCAGATTGTCGAGTGAACACGTGGTTCTATCAGTTCTATCGGTAAGAAGGTGTCATGATATTGTGTGCAGGACACCCTTGTCATCACCAGCTTCGCAGACCCTCGAGCTGAAACTTTCGGGTTCAAGGCTGCTAAAGGGCATGCGGTGCAGCAGGCACTTCTCCATTTCTCGCCTGGCGTGTGGGAAGGTGGGCGATCGAATCGTGCACATCAATGGCGTGCCAGTATTTCAGCAGTTGGACTTTCTTCAAGTTCTTTCAGGACAGGTTGCTGCCTTGGGTAGTTCTCGGAGGAGTGATTTGCGGATGCATTCCAGGCGCAATGCGTGATTTCCACAGACTGAAGCAGCCCATCGTTGTGACCACAGTCGATCCCACGCCTTAGTCTCAGACCCTCAGCAAATGCCGGTGTCAAGCCGCACTTCGCGAGGTCCAGCGCCGGCGCTAACAGCAAGCTGGACATGACTGGCGTCGAGCTGCAGGATGCCGCTTAGAGCGGCAAGCCATTGCATGTCGGTGCGTAGGCGTCGCGTATGCGACGTGCATGCGACGTGCACGCGACCTTGTCTGAGGTGTGTGGAAGATGGCAACTCAGCAGTGGTGAAAACTTCATCATCAGCATCTCATTTAATTTCATCTGCCAAGCATGGCGCTGCCATGCGCTGCCTTGAAGTCCCAATGGTCCAGAGTTCGAGCCGAGGTAGAATGCCTGGCGTCGAGCAGCTACAGCTGACACTCCTCATTGGGGACAGCACAGCTTCAACAGGCGCAGAGTCTTCGCACTTCTGGGACATGTGAACTTGTGCCGAAGGCCTGATCGTTCCTGATGGGCCCGACCTTCGATGCAACCTGTACCGACTGGACAACAGTGAATTCGGCGAAGCATGGCTCAGCTCCTCGCCAAAGGCTTAAGGAGAGGGCGGTTGGCTCTCTGACAGGGTGTAGGACTGGAAGGTGCCGGATGCACGAACTATTGAAGTTAAAATTTGGTATCTCTGCCGATGCGAGTTGCCTGAGTCGCACTACTTTGCCCCCAAGCTCTCCTCGCCTCAATGAAGTTGTGTTTCCGCCGCAGACTTTCTTGATTCAACAAGGCCTTGGGAACTTCGGAACGGAGGGCGCCCTTTTGTCTCGAAGCCATCCTGTCAGCCGAGCTCCGTTCCTTTCGTTGCCTGGCCCACGGGCTGTGCTGCGAGACTTGCCACTTTGCAGGTGCAAACCACCAGGACTACCTTCCCGCACAGAGCCTACACTTTTGCCCAAAAGCATGTTGGGTCCCCACCAGCCTTCTGCCACATCATTGCCCAGCCATGCGAGCTCTGATGGGACTTTCCCTTCGCCTCCGAGGAAGAGTTTGACAGCTTTGCTCTTACAACAAGCCTACATTTCGGGTTGCCTGAGGCGGCTGCGACAAAGCTTTGGTCAGGAGGCGGCCTATGCCTGGCTCTTCACGCAGATCATGAACATGTGAGACTAGTTTTTAGCCCGGCTGGGGAGGAACCTAGACAGGTGGACCGGGAGCTCATGGACGGAGAGGCTCCGAGCTTCGAGACGATGCGGGTTCGTGTACACCTCACCCAGCTTCCGTGGCTGAGACTGGACGAACTTTCGACTAGGATGGCCGCGGGAGTTCTTCGCTACGCAAAGGACCCGCATAACGAGCAGGAGAGGAGCGCTTGGCCAGACGCTTTCCGGACAGGCCCCCGAGGAAAGTCAACTCCGGAGATCTGTTCGGTCGATACCACGATCCGCTTGTTGAATGCGTTTCCGCTTCGGTGTCCAGAAGTGGAGAAGAGCTCTTCCGGACCCTCACGGCCGACCTCTCCCCAGATCGGTCATTATGGCCGCACTCAGAACACTTAGCCCTCGCAAAATTTGAAGGGTTCTGCATGCTCACACTCTGCTGTGCCAAAAGAGCAACGGACTGCACTCTCTTGTCGTTGATAGTACGCCCTTCGGACGAGATTGATTCTGCTTGGGAACCCTGCAGAGGGCTTGCCGCCGCCCCTGCTTGCGACAAAGTGGAATCGACCTTTTCCTGCTCATAGGCGGCGTCTTTCCAAGCTTTCTGCAGCAGCTCTTCCTCGTACCCATAGACGGAGCCGTGGTTCTTCGCTTCTTCCCTCTGCAGCAGTTGCTTCCTTCTTGGTACTCCTCCCTCGGCACACTCGCGGAGGTACTTTTGGTGCAGGGCGGTGACGTCTTTGAACAGTCCCTTTTTTGCCCCTCGATGCAAATGGAGGACCCCTTTGCCTCAGCATCCCTACACGATTGGTGAAGGATGACTGGCTCAACTTCAGTTGTGCACAACTCACTCTCTCCGGCTATGCACGAGCTCCTTGGGGTGGTTCATGAGCTGTCGCAACTGTTCGGGTTTGATGTTGAACGAAACCGCATCTTGACACTGACGCCTTTTGCTTCAGCAGCTCGCCGTAGGGGTCTCAACCCATGCCAGCAAAAGACCATGACCTCTGAGCCGACCATAGGCCCCCAGGTG